GCGTACAGTAAGTATTTCCTAAAAAATCAATTAAAAAATTAAACACGCTTTTATTCCGTTTCCATGGTGAACAATTAATACATTTGAATAATTACGTTAATGAATTTCAAAACATTTTAAAAACTTTTGGAAACTGTGTCGGATTCTATTCAAAGGTATATTTGGTCTTATATTTTCAATTGCTCTTTGTGTTTACTTTTTTTTTTGTCCATGGACCCGATTTTTTTGTTTCATTTCATCCTTTCGATTTATATGGAAAGAATAATTCCTTGTGATTTCTATGTAAAGTCATATATTGTTTTTTCCTCCGGTGATTCGCAGCATGTCATATAAATAAATGAGAACGGGAACAAATTTAACACCTCAGCCGCTGGAAAGGCAGTATAAAAGACAAAACAAAAAATAAACTTAAGTTCGGTAATTATTTCTTACATTTTTATCTTCTTATAGAAATTACTTATTATTTTGTTGTACAAAGTGGATTATGTATGTATTTTTAATTATGTACATGAATTCGAAAGCTATAAATAGATGACGCTAGAAGTTTCAGTTAAGCGAGTCTGAAACTAAACGGAAAGGTCATCTGTGTTGTACTATGGTAATAAATAACGAACTGGAGAATTTTGCAGGAAATGAAATGCAATTATATTCAACAATAAATTGCACTCTTTATAAATTTATCGAAACAATTTAAAAAGGCCATTGTTTACGAATTGTTATATCACAGTATTTTCCGTTGGTCCATAACATTGATAAATTGTGTTTCACCATATTAACATGTCATGCAAATTAATGTAGCATTATTTTTGTAAACTCGTATAACAAAAAAATCCTGAAATTGTTGGTGTTTTTTTTTTTTTTTTTTTTTTTTTTTTTTATTAAATTCATCTCCAGTGCGTGTGTTCTACTTTCAGTATTTATCTGGGACTTGAAATATAACATATGCTCAGATTATAATCTTTCGTTAAGGTGGAACACATGGTACTATAATAAATAATTTACTTACTTACTTACCTACTTACCTACTTACTTACTTACTTACTTACTTACTTACTTACCTTACCTTACCTTACCTTACCTTACCTTTCCTTACTTTACTTTACTTCACTTACTTTTTATTTAACTTTACTTAACTTTACTCTACTTTTCTTTACTTTACTTACTTACTTTAATTACTGTATCTTAAGTCCCAGGTATTAATAGAAACCATTTTTTATTTGACGTGAAAAATGCATGAAGTCCCTTTTGTTACTAGTTTTATATAGATTCTACTGTTTGTACAATTGTTACAATTATGATAATAAAAAAACAGACTTTGCTATTTTGACTACAGTTATTTTATGTTCCGAAGCAAATACATTTTATATTCTGATGAAAAATGTCTTCCGTCAGCACATTCATCTATGATAAAAAAATCCTATGAAATCCAATTAACCATTGGAAAGAAAATTTGGTTATCAGATGTCTACAATTACATCGTCACTTGCTGCATTTCTTGTATGGCGCCCTTTGATGTTTTGCATCAATGCTTTTTTTGTTATATTATGATATACTATTTGACACAAAACATGTAAAGGACATTTTGAAAAATAAAGTCGATTGTTTTGGATTATTTACATATGGATTTTTATATTCCTTACCATGATTACGTGTTGATATTTGTAGAAAATGAGTAGCATTATATGTGATATATTATAGGACACAAACAAAACAATGTTACTACTGTCATGTCACATTAAAAGTGTCGTAAGTCTTGTTTGTATTACATGTAATTACTTTCCTTATCAGGTAGGCATCAGTGAAGGCATATTTTTTAAATTTAAAATCTGACCCCTCTCTCGTGGACAGTGCATACCATAAAAATAATTATGCAAATTTAAATGATTTACAAAACATCCGGAATAATGTACAGTAGTACTTAATCAAAATGGAAAATAACCTGTGTGTAAGAATGACTTGGCAAGGCATATGTAATGAGCGCATTTTGGCGCGGAGCTTCTCAACATCGCAGCAATATTTGTACTTGTAGATAAAAGATGTTTAAAAACACATCTAATTTTTATGACATCTAAATTTTGAAACAATTATCCATTTACAAATAGTAGTATGTATGCTCATCTTCCTAGATAGTTGAGCGTATTTCTAAGTATAATAATCTGAAAATGTTCGACACTTTTTTTCTGGATATCCATTAATGAAATAATTAAGTCATATGTAGGACACGAAAATATTAATCATATACAATAGTTCTTGTCACTTTGAATTGTATTCAATCAGTGCGCTTACTTAATTCTGCAAAAAGCCACTTCATATCTAACACTACTTGTATAAGTGTAGAATAAACGTAACCTCAATCAGAAAGAACTTATAACACCGATGATCATTGTGAAATAAAGTCACATGGCCAGCAGAATCGTTAACTTGTTGGAGAAATACAGTTACAGTATTATGCATTTCTTGATCTAATTACATTACGTTAATATTTTGATAAATTTTCTTTACGCGAAAGTTTCAGACATTCTAAATTATGTCAGTGTTTTTTTTTTTCAAATGGGGATATAACGATCTCTTAATGAAGCATCTAATTCGTTCAATTGAGATAAAGATAGTTTTCATCAGAGTAATCTGGATTTTTATCATTGATGATGCTTTATGTTAAAATAATTGATAAAGGATAAGATGTACAATTATGAGTAATCAAAAATATGGGAATCGTGTTTAAAAACTGGATTTTAACTGATTGGTTTTGATATTGGTAACACAAATGGTTTTATTTGCTTTATGTGTTCTTGATTCTGTTGGTGTGGTTGTATCTGTTGTAAGATTAGCTCATGTGTACGCATTACTTTCGTAAAGTTATCCAGACAATGTGAATATTAAGTTTAAGAGCCTTTTTTCAAAATATTTAATTGGATTAATAGTATAAAATTGGAAATTGTAAGTCATAGGTTCAAATGCATCATAAATGTTTCAAAAGGAAATATTTACTTGGCAAGCAAAGATATATAAAGAAAGAATTAAGTATTTTGAAATCAGCTCGATCAAAATATGCTCCCAATAAAAAGATATGAAAGAAAAGATCTTGATTGAATTTAAGAACTGTAAGAAACTATTCAAAGCGCGAATGATAAACTTTTGCGGTAAAAAGTACTTTAGGCAGCGATATTTCTATTTTATTAAAAAACACACGACTGAAATGGTTAAAATTTACACGCTGGATTTGTACAGCAGACATGCCTGCAATTTAATTTGGAACAGTTCATTTGAAGTTTAAAGTGTCTTTCATGTGGTAAGGATAGATGATGCAATAGCAATTTATAATTTACCGAATTATATTTTATGCAGTATAAAGTATACCCAAAAGCGGATAGGAGCAAAATAGTAGTTTTCGATTTCTTTCCAAATAAAATACCACTCATATAACAAAATTCACCCACTGAATTTGCAAGTTCTTTTGGAAATTTAGAGATTTCACTTTTTAATAAAAAAAAACAAAAAAGATTTACCACCAGTAAAGAGCCTTTTTAGATTGCTGTCAACTGGCGAGAAAGGCTTTTTACAGATTTATATCATACATTGTATATGTATATGCATTTTTCGTTTATAAGAAATTGATCGATAACATTTACAAATGTTTATTTCACAATATTGATTTTGCTACCGTTTAATTTATGTTTAAAGTCCATCAAGCCTAGACATGTATTATTCTTATTTTTTATTATGTTTTTTTATTTTGTATGTCTTTCTTTATAAGGCGGGAATTCATTTATTTACACTGTCTTGTCATAAAGGAATATGTTGGGGCTACGGGTGAGACTAAGCGTGCCTCAAACCGGGTTAAACTCCCCAGTAGTATTGTAACTACTGACAGTTCTGAGGCGGTACCCCTCTGTGTTCCTTTGCATGTTTCACATCTACGTCTTATGTATTGTTAGTTGTAGGCACGTTTTGCAATGTCCTTTTTGCTAAATTGCCGTAAAAGGTAAGTATTTTCTTCCCATTCCGTTCTGTGCCCTGCCTACCCCCCCCCCCATTTTTCCCTTACACATCTTGTTCCATTAATTCCCATATTGGCCCCTTTTAGTTCTTATCATTTTACTTATTACATGTGCCTCCCCCTCCTTTCATCGCCTTTGGTCCATTCCCAAATGTTAGCTCGGTTCCTTATTGGTGTGACTGGTTATCACGCTGCGTTATGTTACTCATAGGCCAAAAACCTGAACCATAGTTTGCTTCATTTTTCATAAGTGATTAACTATTCCGTATGGAATTAAAGTACTACCACGTTGTTTAAATTAATCTATATTTTTTTGAGACTTAGTTTAACATTCGTATTCTTCATTTTTAGGTTATGCCCATTTATATTATGTATTTCAAGGATATTCTTTCACAATAACTAGAGTTTCCTCAATACAGAATTGTGAAACTTATTCGTTTTTATACTATTGTTATATACATATACTTATTTACTTGGATTTAACGTACTACAGTGTTGGATCAATACCTGTAGCAGGAATCATGATCACAAAGTACAAAATATATCGCTTTTTTCGCTGCATCTTATATTTGTCAGACATGATCGCATATGAATCGGTGTAAAAATATTTATAAGGTGTCTTAAAGTGCATTTTGGCGGGTATTCTATCGCATAATCATTCAAACACATTATTCGGTATTAATCTGAATGCGGTTGTTAGTGTGTTTTCAGTCTAACTCTATTAATATAACACTAACATTAATAAAATAAGGAATGCCAATATGTGAGAGTTCCATAAAGTGGGGGCATAAGTGACTTATTAGCACACAAATGTTCTAGTTTTCACAAATTTGTTTTGTGGTAACCATCTGTTTTAATGCGTTTTACTACAATTTACTTTATTGAATTACAACATCATGTTCCATAACAATATTTCCACATATCGCTATGTAGACATAGTTTACAGAAAAGCACAAAAAAAACAAGAATAAAGATCAACAAGACCACACAGTATGTTGCAATCTTTATTTTTCCAATTATAGCATGATGTCTGTTACAATAATAAATAATAAATACTGAAGTAAAATTGTTCAATTATAATTAAAAATGTTTAAAATATCAATGAAATAATATCAATACATTGCTTAAAATAAAATTTGTTTTTCTTCTGATTGCCAATTCTTCTTGTCAAAATATGTAATGGGTTTTGATGAGATGGAAAATATTATTTCATGATGTACACATTTATTGAAGAAAAAAGACTTTTGGTTACTGTAACTTACGTAACGTTTACATGTATTATGTGCAAATAAATGTTACAAATAATAAGATAATACAGGTTAATATTATGTAAAATAGTCATTGATACATTGTTAGAAATTGTAATTACATGAAAACATATTGCAAAAAATAAACTTAGTTACATTCTATCAGCTAAGAAATGAAAATATCATATTACCTATTATATAAAGAAAAAAGTTAAATTTTCCCCAAAACAGTTATTTCTTTTGATATTATAGCTATATTAAGTAATGTTATGTCTATAATTATACAGTAAAAATATTATCAAAATTGCTTTTTAAAAATGCTAAACAGTTTAAAATACTCACAATAACACACCCTTACGATATCTGATTTTTAATCAGACACATACACACAAACTCAAACACACACGCACACACACAGCACGCACGCACGCACACACACATACACACACACGAAAGGGCCAGCCATTTCTGACTTCACAGACACCTTTTGCTTACATACCATGTTCTTCCCAACTCCTATCACTATGCCAGGCGCCAGGCGGAAACAAATCGGTAACATTTTAACTACGTCGCGGCTCACGAAGCGGGAATATCGAAACGAGTCCCACGAGAAACATTTATCCTTCAATTAATGCTCCCTATGGGGCTATATTTATAGCACTCAGCTAGATGTGTTAAATGAATCTTTAAAACAAAAATAAAATAAAAACATAAATAAACCGATAAAATTGAAATTCAGTTACTTAAAAACAGGGATGATCATTTACTTTGAATGTTATAGTATTTACATCCTTTATATGCTGTTTTCATGAATTACCTTGACGTTCTTACATTATATCCTTTAATCGCCAGTTTATGAATTTGGCTTTAACTCGTACGGTATTTCAAAAACAATATCATAAAAACATATTTATAAAAATGCATGAATTTATACTATTATATGAATTCATTTAATGTCATGCAATAATGAATAACATGTTACATTAATTCCCATATTGAAAGCGACATTTGATATAAACGGGTGTTTGCACATGTCTTAAAATTAAAATAAAGAAATTTCGTTCTATTTTATCATATCAAGTGTCTTAAACTGATCTTTTTATTATCAGTTAAATTCTAACCCTACCTAAAAAGGTTTATTATAACAGAAGATAAATTGTCGTTCATTTGACGTTGAATACGTTAAATATGAGTATTTTTCATCAACGGAAAGTCGAGAAGATTCCATGATTATGTGATTGTTCTTGCTTTTTTACAATTATCGGACTGGTAATAACAATAATCAAGTTATTTCGACTATATATTTTGGGTTTCACAATTTTCCAGAAAATGAATTTCTATAGAAGTTAACGTTTTGAAGAATAACGTTGCTGGTAGCATATGACCAATATTTCCATTCAACAGAAACTCTATCGCCTGTGTTTAATTTTACTATCGCATGTGTCGACACACAATCGGCGTTGTCATAATCATACCCATATGCAGTCGCATGTACAACTGATCCTACCATTATATCAAACTGCATGCTTTTTCGATGACCAGTGCACATTTGTGCTTCAAATGTATACGTTCCATTTCTTGGGGCAACAAAAATACCAGTCGAAGTGTTGTATGCATCTCCTTCATTCAAAAGAGTCTTGGAAAAAATCATAGTCTGACCGGAAACTGGACTGAAGTCAGTTACATAGTAAGCGTTGAAAGCCACACCTGAGTCTGATTCTGGAAAGTACAAACAAACATATTTCATCTGTCAATGACAAGAATGGATCTTTTCATGTTTTAAATGCAGGACGACATGTTTAGAAAATATAAGATAGAGACAAACAGAATCCCTAAAGTAAGCCCAACACGGCAAAATTGAAAATGTTGCAGACTCGGTTTGATTAAGCCTGTTCATGGGCGGTACTTGAAATTGCAAGTAACCGTCCAAGCCCACTGGCACCGGCTTAAGCAGAATTCAACATTTATACATGAAAATGGTAATCTTTTGAATTTAGAAACATCCGTTAGAACATGTGTTTATAGGGCTTTATCACGGAACCTTCAATTTGACACGTTAGTGCCATTCCATGGAAAGCGGCGTATGGGCCCCAATTGATGAAATGCGTGTGCCCTAAACGAGAAAACACTGGGCGGAACTAAATGAAATAAAATTTTGAAAGGGGATCTGATAAGAGTTCACATGTGTAATACATCGTCAACTTGAAATTTATTTTTCATTTCTAAAGGAAATTGATATCGTATTTGGGTCCTATTATTTTAATGTCTCCACAGGAAAATTAAAACAAAGCTGCTTTTCATCAGATTCAATACCTGTATCTATTTAGATATTTAATTTAGTTATGTATTTATTTACTTGGAAATATTCTTGTGCCCGAAGAATATATTTGATTGTGTTAACTTACGACAATCTTCCTCGTTACAGGTATCTACGTGTATGTTATCTCCAACACATGGCTCTCCATGAGTTCCAGGTACTGGATTTGTACATGACCTTGACCTGGTTTTAACTCCAACACCGCAAGATTCGCTACATGTACTCCATGTGACCCAATCTGCCCAACCTCCATTTGATGCTAAATTTCATTTTAATATATTTAGTGTATAGTATTTCAAACTAATTACTATACAAATGTTTTCAAAATATTAAATTGATATTCAGGTAATTTAAGGAGTTATGTCACGTCATTATCATTTTGATTTGTTCTGGCAATATGATTGCTATCAGAATAATGTACAAAATTCAACGGCGTATCAAAGGCATGTAGCGGTAAATGTACATCATAGTACTGCTAGATTCGTATTTCTCAATTTGAATTGCCTCCTTTATTGTATAATATACGTGTTAACTTAAGTTCTTATCCTTTGATAAACTTGCAACGATCCATAAATTGATCAGATGAATTTTTGTACATCAATAAATTTTGAAATATCCATTTCATAATTTAAACTAAATCAAGCAACACAGTTTTTCAGCTGAATGTGTTTTAGCTCAAATTCTTGAAAGAATCGTATTTGCCCAGTAATCTTTTATGTTTGTTTATTTATCAATTGCATTTAAAACTTTATAGAAAATTATTTATACAAACCATCACACGGTTTTTGTTGGCATAGTTTCACGTCAAAACTGTCACCAAAGCAATGGTCGCCATGCCGTAATGGAGACGGGTTTGTACATGTACGATGTCTCTTCTGTATACCTATATTGCAAGTTACAGGGCATGGCTCCCAACTTGACCATCCCGCCCAGCCTCCATGAACTAAAATTTGATAATACTTCAACGAATGAAACATTATTAGTATAAATTTTGGTCTTGAATTATAAGTGACATTTTCCATGCTACTTGCTTACATTGAATAAATTGAAAGTGCATCAAGGAAATCGATATTGGTAATGCATAATCTTCCTTAATGAAACGCATTATGATTATTTATTCTAAATTTATAAGTCTCTTAACAAGAACCTCAAATTTTATTTCATCATGACACTCAAATTAATATATTGTTATTAATGTGATTGCATTTATTGCTCATATTTACAAAATGCTCTTTACCTGGTTCAGACTTGAATATACAAGTAAACAAATGAAGTATGAGTTATATTGTTTACCTGGACATAATGGCCGAGTACAAGGTTTAAAGTCCGTGTTGGTTCCATTACAATCTAGACCTTTGTAAGCAGGTGCAGGGTTGGTACACGTTCTGATTCGTGTGTGTTTTGCATGACCGCATGTGACATCACATGATGACCACGATGACCAATCGGCCCAGTTTCCATCAACTGAAAATAAATAATAACAGCACTTGTAGACCAAGCGATGATCACACTTGATACGACACACTTTTCTGCTTTACTTTTTTCATACAATAGCAGCCAACTCCTAGTGACGTGTTTCCAATTTTGCAATGAGAATCTTTGTTTTTTATTTCATATTGATGTTGTGAGCACCTTATTAGAAAAACAGTGTAAGCATATTTACCTAGATCACATAATTTGCAGAATTTACGACAGTGTAACTTGGCTTGATGAATATCTTCACAGATGTCATAACCTTTGTTCCAGAATGCACAGTTCTCTATATAATCGCTGCAGGGCGGCGCTTAAATTGAAATTAATAATAATAGACGTTATGAGTAATCGAGTGGGGTGAGTGAGTGATCTATGTTCTATAGAAAAGAATATTATTTCAAATTTATTACAAAAAGAACTTAATATGTTGTTTCGGCTCATTTGAAAAGGCATTTCATTCTAATTTTAAATCGTATAAAAATAAGTTTTGCAATTTTAAAATAAGTAATATGTTTCAGTAAAGGTTACCTACATGTCTTATAGTTGCAAAGGTCTTTGTTACATTTATCAACACCACAGCATTCTTCACACTCTTGTATCATTTGACCATTGCTCAACTTTGACACATTATTGTATACTGGTACACTACCACAATTCTGTAAACAAGGCATGGGGAATATGTGCATTGTAAAAAGTTTTAATTGACAAAAATAACAGTAATATTGTTTGCCATTTTATCTGCCAATTCGAGCAGAGGCAACGGTTTCTTTATTGTACATTAAAGCGGTTTTGACACATCAAAATATATCATTTATGCACTTGTGCTTGATATATATATATATATATATATACTATTATGGCTTTTAAATGTTTATATGATTAATAAGAATTCACAGCATATATGTGTTAAATCATATTGTTTCCAGAATTGTATGGCAAATTGTTTGTTCGACACGTTTTTATGTCGGGACACAGTAAAAAACTATCACAAATATTTGAACTTACTTGAACTTAAATCACTATTGCTAAATCAAATCTCTTTTCCATAATCTGTATTTTATATATACTTATAATTATATTTTATGAGTCCTTCTTTAATCTAGAAAAAGGCAAATATGTTTATATTTTATATCTCTTTTATTAGAACTACTTAAATATGTAAGTAATGGAACATATGTATCTTACCTCATTTTGTGTACATCCGAGTGTGAATGAGGCAGATTGTCCTTTCTTTTCTAAACGTGTGAAACAGGACTGACGGTAAAAGGTAAATTAAAGTTTGCAAGAAATATCAAAAATGTACAAAATGTAAATAAATCTCTAAAAATATAAGCTTTTAAGAAGTCAGGTGTTAAACGAAACAACGAGACCATATTTTCACCAACTAATCTAAACGTTTTCAAACAATTAGATTTATTATTTGTTTGTCATTTAACTGGAACTGAAATTTGCCTGATTCGTTTCCGTTATTTAAATTACTTTAAAACTAAAGAACAATATATTAGAGTTAAATATATAATTACCTCTCTTTTTCCGCATGTTGTAATAGTTTTACAACTATCTAAACTGTCAACGTTGTTACACGAATAACAAGATAAGGAATCTGAAAAATTTATCACTTGTTTTGTTTACCTTTATAAATATTACAGAATTTCAGTCTAGTTGTAAAAAAGATAACGCACAAAAACCTTAAGATTTATAATCTAATCTACGTTTTGTACCTCTGACCTTTACTTTGGTTATTTTTACAATTGGTATTGTATATATTGATAATGATTGATTGATAAATTATGATCATTTATCAAAAACTCGTATTGGCTTATATGCATTCAATAATGAACCAAACTTATCAAGGTTTTTTCATTTATGAAAAAGAAGTCCTGATATTTAGATAATTGACTAACCCACATTTCCAGGACCAGCAATCAGGAAAAGAATAAATCCTGAAAATGAAATTGATGTAGTATTACCATTTTCGTAAAATAATAGTGTACTGTTAAATAAGGAAACATATTTTAAAGATTTAATGGCTGGACTTCAATGCTTATGAAAAAAACTGCCCTAAAACATTTCATTAGTAATGTAGCCCAAATTTATTAATTTTCTAAATTAAATTAGATAAAATACCGTGAGGTTTGAAAATACTGACGGTATACTGAAATACGAATTTGATAAACTAAATGAACACATGTACAAATTCTGTTTTTGAAATGAATCGTCCACATAAAAATATTCTTGACAATTTGAAATAAAGGTGATATCGTAACTTAATACAATATGTTTAAATATCAGTACTTTACGAAATAGGAACTTATATAATTTATTATTATATTCCATCTTAAAATGCCATAGAAACAAATAGTGCATGCATTTACGAAACTTGAATAAATTAAGTTACAAATTACTGAAGTTAAAAACTCTCGGGCGTTATGGATCGGTTATTGCAATTGTAGTATATGCCATGAAAACCTTGCATACCATTCTTTTTGGTTCTTTGTTTATATGGCCATGGGGTTAACATCATTTATTATACAGTTAAGCTATTTAACTAACCTTTATAAAGCATCATGTTGGCCTTTTCTTCACACGAGTAATCCTAAATGATGAACACTGAAAACAAGTGAGTATTAAAATTACGATGTAAATTCAGTATTTTTATACATGTTGTATTTCTGTCTATAGTTCTCATGTTATGAAATTTTATTTTAAATAAAATGAATCACAATGAAAGCAAGGTCTGTCTCAATAATGAAGATAACATAAAATAAACCAAAAAAAAAACATTTATTCAATATTATTGAAATTTCCATTATTCTTATTCATGAAATTTATTTGAATAAAATTAATCATATTGAAAACAATGTCTGTCTAATAATGAAGATAACAAAATATACATATATATTAATTTCAAGTTAGACAATATATTGCAGAAGAAATGAAGGTAATATGTATTAAGTAGCAACTTGAAAGCTGTGCTTTACTATAGATTTTGTTTATTTTGCATTTCAAAAAATGTCATACAAAGTTGCAATCGCAGTTTAATACTCGAATACTACTGACGTTGTTTTACACGTTACATTTCTTAAAATTAAATTACATAATGTTTTAAGAGCGTTGACAAAATAGATGACTTTAAAAATACATATTTTTATATAAAAGAAATTATTGAAATCAAATGAGCAATATCTGTTAAATAAATTTTTGAAGGTATTCATTATGAATTTAGATATTAAGTGTCACTTTTGACATTATGTAGAAATTTAGAGGTAAAGAAACAATTTGAAAATACTCACTTACCTCGTGAAGACATCCATCCTTTGGTGATCCGGGCGCATGCGATGTGTTTAAAAGGGCAATTTAAACAGGTGTTCGCTTCAGAGGCTAACACAATGTTATGCAAATGTTTCATGTCTAACAGCTGATTTTTCTTTAATTACGTCGTTACTTAATTAATTTAGCATGCATAGTTTTTATTTGTTATTACACATGTTTATTAAACATGCAATCCTGAAAAAATTACGGGTTTTCCTTCGATTTTAAGTGATTTATATGGTTTTGTATATTCGAAAAATGCTTAAACTTTGACTGTCTGAGAATTGTGCATTCTGCAATTGTCACCTTTATGGTTTTGTGTTGTCCAGGGATCATCCATTTTTATATTATTTGTTTTAAATTCATTTAGAAAACAAGTACATTGTTGTGGTGACGTAGAGTTATTCGTACTGAAGAGCTTTATATAATCTATAACAATTACCACCTAATCATAAAAATTTCTGTACAACAATAACAAACTTGCATGATCTTGGACGCCTTCAATAGACAAATTGGTAGAATGAAACCTGTAGAATAGACTTTATTTAATCGTTGCATAAAATTGTAACAGCAAAATTATAGTAGTTTGTCTATTTCTCGGGCGAGCTGCTTCTCCCTTAATGTACATATAAAGGTTTGTTTTCTCCACTGGTTTTTCATTAATAGTTTCAAATAAATATATCGTAATTTAGATTCCTTGTAATTAAATTGTCCTTTCTCCTCAAGGAAATATTACTTAAATGAAAAGAGAGAATTAAGAATGTTTTGATCACGTGACATACCCGAACTAACATCACAGGAATATAAAATGAGTGGAAGAAAATATTCAATTTTATATGACATTCATGCAAACGTAAACAATCGTTGTGTATATTTTAAGTGAAAGCCGTGATCTCTCGAAAACAAATAAATCAAGAAATATTGTATGAAAATTGCAAACTCCATTTGCATATTTTTTCCTATAGTTTAGCAATATTATATTCAAAAATCCTACCATTCCTGATGGCTTAAAACTTGGAAGGAAAATAGAAAAATAGGTGATGAGGAAGACTACTTTTTTTACTCAACCCAAGCCGAGGAATATTCCATTTCCTTTTATACAGAACAGAGGATACCCTTCATTTGAAAGACACAGATTGCAAGATATTAAATTATGCAAGAAAATGTGTTCAAAATTTTAAACAATATTATTGGCAACGGGAATGGTTTATAATTACTTATCATTGATCTATTAAACAATAAAATTCTTATTTAAAGGTTGAATATTTTTTACTTTAATATGACAATATAAATTTAAGTAAAATAAAATTATTTTACTGGCCTCAAGGTTGTGATTTTCTTTGATTATTATCACTCTTAACCATATGATCTTTACTAGACTAAAACATCTTTTTAAACAAAGGAAGATGTAAGGGAATTGCGTGAGACGAGTTCAGATGCTAATGATAATAACAAAATAATGGACTTGACAATGTAGTGTCTTTGTCACATTATCGTGCTGACTGTTAAAGTAGCCTAAAATACCGGAATGGCATTCCATCACGAATTGTTAAAATCATCACTGTCATCGTGACCAAACCGAAAACAAACTTTAACTTCCTTAAGTTGAAGACGGACAGGTAAGTACAATTAAAAAAAAAACATAAGATAAATCACAGAGTCATATTTAAATAATAAAAGTATCTAGGGAAATTATCAAGAGTGTAAAATATCATAAAAAGAACATTCATGATTCATGTTATATCTTCCATTTTATTTAAAAAAATGCTTCAACGTAAACTGTGAATTATAAACCTGTAATTTATTTTCGCATTTATATAGAATTTTATTTGTTGTTCACATGTTGCTATGTTCTCAGATCCTTTCAATATCTTAAATGTTTATGGATGAATGTTTGTGAGGCAGGCACTAGGGGGCGTTAGAGATGTTGCACTTACCATAATCTCTATAGGAGGGACTCATATTCGTTTGTTTGTTTGTTGGTTTGTTTGTCGGGGATCTCATCTTTCAATATCTTTTAATGTTCCCTCTGTTTACAACTAAGTAACATTTTCTAATGGCGCATATATGGGTATATAATCTTTTTTAACAATTAATAAATTGAATAATATTTTGTTATATATTTCAACTTATTTTTTTTCTTTCAAATTTTGGGACTGTACCACTATAGAAAATAAAACGAAACTCTTCCCTTTTGTAATCTAAACAATCTAACTGGTTACTGACAAAACAGTCTTGTTTTCAAAATAATATTATCATACAAACTTGTAACAAAAGATGAATATATTTGTTTCTTTGGTACAAAAATACTCTTTTTTCATATCTTAATTCGCAATAAAAAAACAGACTTTAAAAATATTGATGAATTAGCTTAAGGTAGCTGTCTACAGTTTCCTATAGCACTGAACGTTTGTAGTTTTTGCTACTTTTACTAACACAATTTTGACACTTTGTCTAGTAATGTTATAAAAATGTCTTCCTCAATAATTCAGGAGTCCTAAAGAAATCCGTGATATAACGGTTATTTGCTACTGTTCAGTGTATAAATCTATGAGAAAAATGAGGCTTAGCATTAGCAACACCAACATAACCAGCAACACAGGATCGGCAAGGAGCCCAGAACATGACCAGTTTACAGCCACAACAACGGTGGAAAATGAAAAAAAGTAAGAATGAAAAATATGTTACAGTGTCCAAAGGGATATACAATTGTAAAGAGAGAAAAAAATGATAAGCACTCTCATAATGAAATCTCACGCAAAACAAGAGCAAAACTCTAAGAATAAAACAATGATCAACATAATATATGAAAAGCTTTACTTTTACTCCAAAAGATGATAACCGCTCTCGCCCCATCCCTCCAGCCACCACCCCCCTTCGATCCCCAGTCATGATATATAAATAGAACTTAACAAGTTGACAAATTATTATTCAAGCTAGACCTAAATGTAATAGAGCAAAAGTTTGATTTGCAAACAGTTTTGACTTAGGGAAAGAATGAATAAATAAGCAATAGTCTGCTAAGATTATAAAAATGGAGAAAAAATCACGAAGTCTGTAAACATTTGAAATCAGTTGAAATGGAAGAAACGTTTAAAGCGGCACGCCTCCAGATTCATGCTACTTTTTATGAAAATTTTGAAAATGTGTTTAAAAGTATTATTCAGTGAAATAACCAAAAGGAAGCAATTTACACGATAACAATGGCAATTACAACCCACGTAACATACTAAGAAGAGGACAAAATATTTAAAAATATCCCTTAATGCGTTAGAAACGCAGTAGAAATATAGTTATAAATACTGAAAAATCGGTCATTAATCGCACATAACATGTAAATTATTACTAGAACTTTGAATCTTTACACTTTTCCTAAAATCTTAGTACATTTTTCTCAGGTTTGATTTTATTGAAATATCGCTAATTCGCTCATCTGGAGGCGTGCAGCTTTAAGCATAGCTATAGAGGAGGAAAAGAACCTCAATAATTTACGCTATAACATGTATAATAGAAATACGATTTGTTATAAAAGACTTTTTTAAACGGAAAGTCAATCTCTCATCAGTCATAATAGAGCACGTGCTTATACAAATGCATACAGTCTCCCATTAAATGACAAGGGCCCGAAACCAAATAAAGTAAGGTTTGTGAGGATGGTATCAAAGAAACAGGTTCCTTGGTAAAGTTTAAGCAGGTACCCTACCAAAAGGGTCCTCGATCCACGAGAGTCTCCCCAGGAAAGATATTAATAACTTATGCAACTAGCTAATTAGTTAAGAAATCCACAAGACGGTGTTAACAAATACAAAGCTATTGCTTATTGGTCACTTCATTTTAAAGTGAATTGGTCTATAATGGAGAGCCCTGATACCATCAATATTTATGTTGATAGTATTAATGACCATCTACAAAATAATTATATATAGATGTTGTTAGTAGATTAAGTTTAACATAGTACATGATCCGATATGACATATTAATATATAGCAGATAATAGAACAAATGTTATTATCCATCATATACTAGTATATTAAAATGATGAATCACTCTAGAGTTCTATTAACATTTTGTTTAATTTCATAAATATTTTAAAAATATAATCCAAAATTATACATTTCTACTGTTATATCAATATTTGAATGAACGACAAATTTTCCCATTGATGACCAATTAACTTGAAAAGTAAATATATGTTACTAACAGTTTTAAATATAGTTAAATATATTATTCTTGCATAAAAACTGTGTACGCAGGTATACATTAAAAAAAGGACAAAACATGCATTAACGTTAAGATTCTTGTGACCACTTGTCGTTGTTGCATGACTCAGGTCCCAATGTATAACAGCTTTATGCAATGACTGTCTCGGTAGAATTATTATCATGAAAAAAACTATCAAAACACGTTCAATTAGCATGTGGAACGCGGAAAAACCGATTTCGACGTGTTTTTGTTGTTGTTGTTGATTATATTTCGTCAACAAAATGATGCTTATATTTTGTAACTAAGTGTTTTTTAAGGCTTTTTTTATTTTCAAAGGAAGACCACTCTGTCGACCTTGTTTAGTATTACTCTTTACTTTCTGTGATGATGTCCCTTTGACCATTAAGCTATCTGCTTATCCATAACATTTCTCTTCGAAGGTTATGGTCACCTGATGTCATTCTTTGTGTAATCAGAAGTTATTGGTCATTGTGAAATGTAACTTAGAAATTATTATTCAAATATTAAGGACTGAGGAAATCAGAAACAGTATGTTTTTTCATTTGTTATTGTGTAAATTAGAAATATTCTCGAATGTTATAGTTCAAGATGTTAGCAATTATCGTGTCTTATATTTCAAAGAAAGTTCTGTTTCATTTTCTATTTGTAATGCACTGAATTTTATAAGTACAGTTATAGAGCTTAATTAACATCCCAGTGAGACAGACAGGTGTGATGAAGTAGAAGTTTGATGCACAATTGGTATGTTATATTATGTTTAAAAGTGATTGGGCATAGATTTTAGAACTAGATTATTGTAGACTTTTAAGGTAATTATGCATTGTATATTGTTTTATAAATGACTGGTTAAGTAGACATTCTATGCAAGTTCAATATGATGTATATATATCTAGCTATATATTTTGTGTATTGATATACATGTATTTAGAGGAAGGGTACACTTTTTAGATTATTCATATAGACTTAAGCCGGTGCTAGTTGCGTGGACGGTAATTTACACTTGAAAGTACCGTCCATGAACAGGCTCAATCAAACCGAGCCTGCAACATTTTTCAACTTTGTCGTGTTGGGCTTTCTCTATGAATTCTTATTTTCTCTATTTTATCCTTTGATTTAATGGAATCGATATATTCAAAGAAATTCAATGTATTGCTTGTGAACCAAAAATAGAAATAAATCAATTTGGGCAAGGATTTATTCAATTTTGTGTTACATTGAAAAGCAGGACAATACTTATAGTTTGCATGTACTTAGATTGGAAAAGATTATGATATATTAAGTGTTGCGCAATTGTACAAGAAAAACACATCAATAATGTAAGGGAAAGTTCTGGGTATAAATGAACATAAACAATCAGGTCATAGTTTTCATTTCTATTTGCATATATCCCGTGAAACAACATTTATATATCTTTATTTATAGATGGCTTACAGGAAATATGTATTGTATGACTTTTACGTTTCTTTATGTTTCATTATTAACTGATTTTTGAGAGCATTGATCAGTAACTTGATATGGCAAATGAAAATGCTAAATAGAAGCAAAGGTCTCCTCAACTCCTTGCAATACTGCACAGTGTTCTAGGGCACTACCTATGTGTATTAATTAACAACATGAAGCATGCAAAACTAGTCAAAACTATAATAAACTACTCGTCTAAAGTTATATTCCCCGTTAATGCATACAGTATAAATTCTTAAGAAAGATAATTATGTCAACAGATGATAATTGATTGCTTTTATGAGATGATAGTATCTAAAGTCCCGGAAGGGTTTCGTACCCAAAAAAACAGATAGGTGCAAACGATTTTAAGTCAACTACCTGAGCTCATGAAGGCCACTTTCAAGCGTATGGTGTATGAAAATCATGTCATATATGAAATTATTCCTCTTTTCATGGACAAACTACTTTTTAAAAAAACAATAAAACAAATAAATATTACTTTATGTACACCTTTCCTTTTTAGCATCAATTAATCAATGATAACTTCATATGTTTTTTCGTGTATATGCTCTAGTTATATTTTTATTGTTTCGATAATATTTAAATCACGAGCATTTAGACACCAATTCTAGTAAGTCAATGACTACGATTCAATAGGGATTAGTTACTGTGACAACAGCAAATATACGGCTGTTTAAATGCTAAATGACTTTCATTTCAGGAATTTATTTTTCGATTTTTTCCAATAAAATACCACTGAAATGACAACTTAAACATTTTTCCGCTGGATTTGTAATTTTAATTTGAAACAATTTATTTGAAATTTTAGAGACTGTACTATTAAAACATGAACAAAAAAAGATTTACCAACGGTATAAAGCCTGGGAAGACTACAGTCAACTGGAGAGAAAAGGCTTGTTACATATTTATGTAATATATGTATGTCCATTTTTGTACATAAAACAATCTATCTATAACGTCTAAAATGTTTATTACACACTATTGATTAAATTTTGCAAGCTTTTGATTTCTTTAAAGGCCCATCAAGCCAAAAATGGATATTTATTAATTCTCAAATGCTTTTGATTTTTGATTTTTGATTTCTTCTTTGGTTTAACAAGTAATTGCCTCTTCTGTTTGAAATTTAAAATACCAGCATTTTGTTTAAATTAAATTATATATTTTTAGATATTTAGTTTAACATTCTTCATTTGAAGGTTTTAATTATGTATTTGATGCCACATGGTCAAGGTCACAGTGACGTTTCAAGGTTATTCCTTCACAATTACAAGTTCCTCACCAAAAGGTCTGCGAAACTATTTATCTATCATACCATTGTTATATACATGTACTTTTTAACATGGATTTAACTCAAAGCAGTGTTGGATTAGAAACTCTAGACGCTTGCAGAAATCATGATCACTTGTTAGGAAAAAAATCGCTTTTTTCGACGATTTATATATTTTTGGTCTTGATCGTATATGAATCGGTGTAAAAAGATGATAAAAGGTGTTTTAAAGTGCGTTTCAAAGTGCATTTGGGAGTGCAAAAATGCACTATTCTAGCATCTAACCATTCAAGCATCTTCTTCGGTATCAAGCGGAATACTGTCTTAAGTATGTTTTAAATCTCACACTATAAATACAAAACTGACATTTATGAAGTAAGCATACGAATGTCAAAATGTGAAAGTTAAATAAAGTAAAGGCATAATTGACCTATTAACACACTTTTTTTAGTTTTTTTTTCACAAATTTGTTTTGCGGTGAACATTTATTTTTACTTCTTTTACTGCAATTTACTTTATTGCATTAAAACATCATGTTTTATAGCAAGGAGAACAAACTATAGGTATGTAGACATGGTTTACACAAAGAGTACAATTTATCAATTCTAATATTTTCACTGAAAATAAAAAGCTTTCTTTTGACTTTGAATAATTTCGATAAATCATAAGTGGTAATTATGATTTTTTTTCTTGGAACATCTAGCTTTACCAAATGAAAAACACCACACAGTAAGTTACTATCTTTATTTTCCAAATTATAGCATTATGTCTGACACAATAACAGGTATTAAATACTGAAGCAAAATTGTTAAATAATAAAGAATATCAAAAGATCAATGAAATAGTAAATATACATTTATCGTAAAATAACGTTATTTTTTTACCTTCTGATTGTCAACTCTTCTTGTCAAAAGTATACAATGGATGTTGATGAGATTGAAAAGATGAATTTATGATGTACAAATTTATTGAAGAAATTACTTTTGGTTTCTGTAACTTACGTAACGTTTACATGCATTCTGTGCAAATAAATATTACAAACAATAAAATAAAACAGGGTATAATAATCTGTTAAATTACATTGTTAGAAATTATATTTACATGAAAAATAGACAAATGATATACATAATAACTCTCTTTCAGTAACGAAACAAAAATGTGATATTTATCTAAATAAATATATAAAGAAAACAAAATGAAATTTTCACAAAACCGTTATTTCTTTAGATATTATAGCTATAAAAAGAAAAACAATACAACAATATAAGCTATAATAATATGTAAAATTATTCATGGATACATTGCTAGAAATTTTGATTACCTGAAAACATTTGTTTAAATCTGATATACCTAATGTATAAATAAATACATGCAATTTTCATAGTTATTTCTTTAGACATTATAGGTATACAAAAAAATACAGTACAATATAAGGTAAAATATAATATATAATAATACGTAAAATATTCATTGATACATTGTTAGAAATTTTAATTACCTAAAACATATTTTAAATCTGGTATACCTATTGTATAAATAAAAACATGCATTTTTCACAAAAACAGTTATTTCTTTTTAGATATTATAGATAAATGAAGAAATGTAATATCTATAATTATACAGTGATAACATCAAAATTGCGTTTTAAAATCCTTTACAGTTTAAAATACACTTATTAACACATTTTTGCGATATCTAATTTCTTAATCATTTGCAAATTAATTATATACATAATTATATGATACTTAGAGCAGCACTCACTTAGATTTGTTAAATCTTCAAAGCAAAAATAAATAAACTGATAAAATTTAAATTCAGTTTCGGTAATTTACAATTTTGAATGTATTATACTACAAAGCAAAAATAAATAAACTGATAAAAATATAAATTCAGTTTCGGTACTTTACAATTTAGAATGTATTATACGAAGATGATAGTATCATCATTCTTTTGTGCTGCTTTCATAATGACCGTCTTTCATTATATTCTTTTACTTGATATTTCGAAAACAATTTCATTAAATATAAAATTAAAAACTCATATGAATTCATTTTACGGTCATACAATTATGATAAATGTTAAGTCAAGAACTATTTTGTAAACAGTAACATTTGATACAAAAGGGTGTAAAGAATCATATTAAATTTCTGATCTTTTCCTTATCCGTTTGAATTTTAACTCTTAATAAGATAGTTTTAAGATTTATAATTAAAAAGATAAAATCTCGTTTATAAGACGTTGAATAATTATGTTCTCAACGGTAAGTGAAGAAGAATTACATATTTGTGTGGTTTGTTTTTTTTTTTGTTGTTTTTTTTTATTGTCCACAGTCAGATTACACATCAATAATCATGTTAATTCGAATATGCATTATGGGTTTGACAATTTTCCAGAAAAAGAATTTCTACAGCTAACGCTTTGCGTAATAACGTTACTGGTAGAATATGACCAACGTTTCCACTGAACAGTAACGCTATCACTCGAATTTAATTTTACTATTGCATGTGCCGACGGACATTCTCTGCTGTTTTGATCATATCCATAGGCGGTCGCATGTACAGCTGATCCTACCATTATATCAAACTGCATCCGTCTTTGATAAAGAATGCACATTTGTGCATCAAATGTATACGTTCCATTTCTTGGGGCAACAAAAATACCAGTCGAAGTGTTGTATGCATCTCCCTCATTCAAAAGAGTCTTAGAAAAAATCATTGTCTGACCGGAAACTGGACTGCAGTCAGTTATATAGTACGCGTTGAAAGCCACACTTTCTGAAAAGTTTACACGAACACATTTCATCGCACAATGACAAGAATGGATCTTTTTATGTTTTAAAAGCAGGACGACATGTTCAGAAAATATAAGAGTCCGCATATGTCATACATTTAATTTATTTTCTATTTATTTATTTATTTATATATTTATTTATTTATTTATTTATTTATTTATTTATTTATTTATTTATTTATTTATTTAATTTATTTATTTAATTGGACCTATTCCTGTGTCTGAAGAACTTACAATAATTTTATTGTGTTAACTTACGACACTCCTCTTCGTTGCAAGTTTCTACTTGTATAGGATCTCCAACACATGGCTCTCCATGAGTTCCAGGTACTGGATTTGTACATGACCTTGACCTGGTTTTTACTCCAACACCACAAGATTCGCTACATGTACTCCATGTGACCCAATCTGACCAACCTCCATTCGATGCTAAAATTTCATTTTCATATAATTAGTGTATATATTTCAAACTCATTACTACAAAAATGTTTTCAAAATATAAAAGTAATATTCAGGTAGTTTAAGTACTTATTTCATGTCATTATCATTTGATTTGTTCAGGCAATGTGGTTGCTATCAGAATAATGCACACAATTCAACGGCGTATCAAAAGCATATGCCGGTAAATGTACCTCATAATACAGCTAGAATCGTATTTTTCAATAAAAATAGCTACCTGAAAACTAGTTTTATTATTTTTTGTCAGACTTGCAACATTTTACGAAGTGACAATCATGCATTTTTATATATCAATATGATTTGATATATTCATTTCATCATTAAAACGGAATCAAGCAAACAGTTGTACAGCTGAATGTGTTTAGCTCAAATTCATGAAAGAATCATATGTGCAAATTAATCTATCAAATATATTCTTTTTCGTTAACAGACTGATAAGAATGTGTATGATGATTATATATATTGCTTGTTTTATGCAATAAAATATGTGTACCATCACAGGGTTTTTGTTTGCACAGTTTCACGTCACTAGTGTCTCCAAAACAATGGTCGCCATGCCGTAAAGGAGATGGATTTGTACATGTACGATGTCTCTTCTGTATACCTATATCGCATGTTACAGGGCATGACTCCCAACTTGACCATCCCGCCCAGCCCCCATGAACTGAAATATGATAACACTTTAACACTATAAACTGAACCAATACAACTCGTTGAATTATAAGTTTTATGTTTAAGATTGTATTCAACAAACCTTAAATGAAAAATGAACACGCAAGCAGTTTTTACCTGGACATAGAGGTCGAGTACAAGGTTTAGTGTCCGAGCTGCTTCCTTTACAATCTAGCCCTTGATATACAGGTGCAGGGTTTGTGCATGTTCGAATGCGTGTGTGTTTTCCATGACCGCATGTAACGTCACATGATGACCACGACGACCAATCTGCCCAGTTTCCATCAACTTGAATTAATAGTAACAAACGTGTGAATGAGTCACAAAAACGATCGCACTTTGTTTGAAGAACATGCACATTGTCTCTTTATTTATAAAATCGGACGCATACTTGGTGACATGTGTAATTTATAACAATTACGATAAATTTATACATTATATAGTAAAAGTCACAGGAGCGATATTTGCTATTCGCTTTTTCGCTTTCAAGTATTATCTGATAACACCAACACGATACCCTTTTAACTTAATTTATGTATCCCACGAAAGAATTACAAATAATTACCGTGTTTATATTTGAAAGTGTAAGGTACCCATGTATAAGTTATTTAAAAACATACCTCTCCACTTTCGTTTGTTTTAACAGTTTTACAACTGTCCATACTTTCAACGTTGCTACACGAATAACAAAACAGGGAAGCTGTAAAATATAATTGCATCATTTTAAATCAATTGGATCATTTTAAATATAAACATTAAAAATTGAATCAAGTATCAGGTTGCTACACAAATACTATCATTTAGATATTGTTTGGTTTTATTAACCTGTCAATTACATACTGATTACACGGTCGATGCACACAGTATATTAATCTTCGGTAGATTTTCGGTAAGTTCCGTGAGATGTACGCTGTACGATGGAATTTAATTTAATTTGTATCTCTCAACAAAGTGTACTCAGCGTTATAGCGCAATAGGGTAAAGCACGAGTTTATACTTTAAGTGCCACACGTGTTTTAAGTTCGAGACCGCGTAGGTCTATGTTTTTATTTTCTTATTAATACTTTCAACAATATTGGAGCTATATATGATTATTTTATGTTGTTCGTTTTGTTTTATTATGTTTTACTTAATTTTGTTATATCTATATTCTTTTTAAATAACATGTTTTAAGAATTCATGTTTAAAATTAAAACGGATTTAAATCAATAAATGTCTTTTCAATGCTGTAAAACACACTACAAACTGTTCCATTAAAATATACGGCAAAAATAAAGAAAGAGTACTAAAACAATGGCAACAGCAAGGATCGAACCACAGACCTCTAAATTGTAGCAAAATTCAACTTATTTAAGGAGCGCGAGCTTGTAAGAAGGGCTGGTAGTGCACTTAAAAGTACACCATACTTTATCCATGAACAGTTCCCGAAGGAAGTATCTGAAAAACGTAGAAAACTCGTACCCAAGATGAAGGAGGCGCGGGACAAGGGGTCAAGAGCCTGGATCTCTTACGACACTTTGTTCATTGACGGGAAACCTTTCAAGGACAGCGCCAACTAGAGGTACGCCGGGGATGATCTGAGTGTGCTATCGTGGAATATTAATGGACTGACTGATGATAAAAAATGTAATAAGGACTTTATTTCTATCTTAAATAAATATAATTATAGTGTTTTTGTATGAGACATGGACAAATCAAAAAAGTAATATTGAATTAAACGGATATGTCTCTTTTAACTTTTATAGAAAGTTTCAGCATCGTAATGCACGGAGATCAAGTGGTGGGGTTGCAGTTTACTATCATGAATCTTTGAAAGACGGTATTCAAATTATACGCACTCACTATGACACAATTGTATGGTTAAAACTAGATAAAACCTTCTTTAAATTTGAATCAGATGTATATATTGGTGGTATTTATTTATGGTGTGACGACTCTCCTGCGTACACAGTGTATAATGTAGATCTTTTTGAAATTATTGAAAATGATATTTTTGAATTTGATAATGATGGTGATATTTATTTAGTCGGAGACTGGAATAGTCGTGTTGGCATCAAACATGATTATGTGGTATTTGACACGTTGAATGATGAACTAGATTTAAAGGATTATGTAGCAGATGAACCCCTAGCTCGGGCCTCTACAGATAAAACATGTAACACGTTTGGTAATCGTTTACTTGATCTTTGCAAAAGCACGGGAATTCGAATAGTTAACGGTCGTTTATTCAGTGGATCATATGTTCGGTAATTGCACGTATTTCTCGAGGCTAGGGTCGTCTGTTATTGACTATTTATTAACAAAACCTGGTAATTTTTCAAGCCTGAGCGATTTTATTATTCATGATTTTAACGAATGGAGTGACCACTGTCCTATTTCTTTTAGTTTACATTGTAATATTGTTATTGAAAATTGTATTTATGATAATGAAACTTTTGTTTAACTATAGATGGTCTGCAGATTTGAAAAATCATTTTAGATCAAGTCTTATAACAAAATTACCTCTTTTAAATAATGTGACTAGTAATATCGATTTGCAAAATAGATCGTCAATAAATAATATGTTGTTAAATTTTACGTCTATTATTCATGATGTAACGGATCCGTTATTTCGTCAAAATGTTACTATTAAAAAAAGCTGTCTCGTTTAGCCAGACAAATATTGTTAATAACAAGTTCATGGTTTGACCGTGAATGTGAACAGTCTAGGCAGTTGTATATAGATTGCTTTGTCAAAATTTAACCGTTTTAAATCTCCAACAAATAGGGAACAATTATGCTTGTTAAAGGCTAAGTATAAGGCTATAATGAGGAGAAAACGAAATTTGTTATAACCTCAAAGCAAGTTAAGGAAATTGAAAATTTAAGGTTGTCAAAACCAAAGGAGTTTTGGAAAATATTTAAAAGAAAAAATGTTGTTTCTAATAATCTTTCCCTAGAGTCATTTTTCAAATATTTTTCTGAACTAGGAAATGATATATTTCAAAATGTTAATGTTGAATCTGAGGATTTTGCCTCAACTCATGATTCAATTTAGTGATGATGCTGATGACTTTTTAGATCGACCAAATATCTGTTAATGAAATTCAATAGATGCTGTCAATTCCTTGAAACGAGGAAAGGCTTACGGACACGATTTTTCTAATTGAATGAATATTTTATGAGTCGATTGATATATTGTCTTCACCATTTATGTGATATATTTAATAAAATACTTGATAGCGGGTATTTCCAGATAATTGGACTGAAGGAGTAATAATCCTTTGCATAAAAAGGGAGATAAGAATGAGGTAAATAATTATAGAGGCATAACTTTAGTTAGCTGTATGTCAAAAGTATTACATCTATTATAAATAAAAGAATTTATAGCTATTGTGAAGAAAATTGTTTACTGTCAGATGCCCAGTTTGGGTTTAGAAAAGGCAAATCTACTGTTGATGCTTATTTGTGTTATCATCTATTGTTCAGAAATATATTAACGACAATAAACGTTTGTATTGCGTATTTGTTGACTTTAAAAAGGCAATTTGACAGTGTTATAGAAATGCACTTTGGTTAAAATTACATAAATCAGGTATTAGGGGTAAATTATTTCGTATTGTTAAGGATATGTACAATAAAGTTAAATCATGTATTAAAGTGTGTAATAGTTATCAGAGTTTTTCGAATATGCTGTAGGCTTACGTCAAGGGGAGATAATTTCGCCGGTTTTATTTATCTTTTTATTGATGACATTGAGTTATTTTTGCAGCATGATATAATTGGTGGTTACAGTTAAATGATATCATTTTAATATTGTTGCTTTTTGCAGACGATATGGCCATTCTAGGCAATTCACCTGAGGAAATAAACAATAGTTTAGTTTTATTACATAATTACTGTACAAAGTGGAGTCTAGAGGTTAATGTAGATAAGACTAAAGTTATGGTTTTTAGGAAGAGAGGTGGTTTGTTGTCCTCTGAAAATTTTTTGTATAATGACAAACGTCTAGAGGTTGTAAATGATTTCAATTATTTAGGTACAGTTTTCAATTATACTGGTAATTTTGCATTAAACCAAGAACAGCTTGTTGGTAAAGCTTTGAAAGCGTTAAATGTATTACTGATAAACTGTAATAAATATAAACTGAAACCGAAGTTATTATGCCAGCTTTTTGACTCTTTTGTTGGATCAATCTTAAATTATGCAGCTGAGATTTGGGGCCACAGTAAGTCTAAAGAAATTTGAAAGAATACATCTAAAGTTTTGTAAAAGAATATTAAATGTAAATATAAGAACTTCAAATGCAGCAGTTTATGGTGAACTTGCTCGTTACCCACTGTATATTGGAAGATATGTTAAGATAATTAAGTATTGGTTCGCCTACTTGAAACAGATAACATTATTCTTAAAGAAGTGTATAATTTGTGTCTCAGTGATTGTAATAACGGTAAAAGTAATTGGTTAACTAAGTAAAAAAAATTTATTATATCAATATGGTTTCAACTTATGTTTGGGATGAATCCTACTATTGTTAACAGTAAATCATTTATACCTTTGTTTAAAACAGAGACTGATAGACACCCTTTTATTCAAAGTTGGCATGTTGATAAGGAGAACAGTGGTGTTTTAACATTGTATACAAACCTTAAGGATACTTTTTTGTATGAGCCATACCTAGATATACTGCCTAGTAACCTAAGGTTGTTTATTAGTAAAATAAGAATGTCTTCTCATTCATTACGTATACAAAACAGGTAGATATGGTACGAATAGAGTTGCTAGAAATGAGCGTTATTGTACATATTGTAATACACAGGACCTTGAAGATGAATATCATTTTATACTTATATGTCCTTGCTATAATAATATTAGAAAAAAATATACTTAAACGTTATTTTATATCAATCCAAGTGTAAATTAAAACTTGTAGAGTTGTTAAATTCAAAAAAATAAGATTATTTTGAAAAATCTTGCTTGTTTATATTAAACTCGCACTTTCTCATAGAACTTCTATTACTTATAATTAAATACAGTTCATCCTCTCAAAATATGAATTTGTGATAATGTGCTATTTTCCATTGTGACATCAAATCATATATACTATTTATTTATGTATATGTATAATGATTATGTACTTATTGTACAAGTCTTGAATAAACTGTTTGTTCTGTTCTGTTCTGTTCTAAATTATCAGGCATTCTCTTAACCGACTGTACTATTGTGAATTAACGAAAACCTTCACATTAATTCTCGTAAACTACACGGACCAAACCGAAGTGGGATCGAATATTTAAATGAGTTCTATAATGTATGCATAATTGACAGGTCAATAAAATCAGACTATACATTCTTTTATCGACGAGTTCGCTTTTGTTTAAGTATTTATTATAATAAGCAAGAGTTTGGGATATGTTAACTTTTTGTACCCTTTATTAAATTAAAAAAAAATTATATTATTGGAGGCAACTGATTTAAATCTTGTTTTCTTTTTTCTTATCATTTACGAGAATGTAATTCAGAGAAGATATTGAATGAGTATAGGTTTAATACATTTTGAATAAAATTATTTCATGCGAGCCTCTTGGGAACATTTTACTTTTTTCAACGAGTTCAATAAATAAAGTAATGAAGCAGCACGAACAAAATATTCTGTTTAGAACTGTTTTAAAAAACAACCATTATTTCATTGATGCGCTGACATTAAGCGCGCTTTTACGCTACGTTTGTTTGTAACGCAAATAATACCGCATAAAAATATAAGCCAGGGGTATTTGACCATTTGTTAGTAAACAAGCAACAATAAACCAAATTAACTGTAGTTTGGATTATTTTACGATTAAGCAACACTAATTAAATAATTGTACAAACCGACATTTCCAGGGGCAGCAGCCAATAGAAGAAGTATTAATCCTAAAAAAAGAGAATTTAATACTATTATCACTTATAATGATATTCATATTTTGATAAATGAATATTATTAGATGTAATTGTATGTTACTGGAAAGAAGTTCTTATATTTAATAGATAAAGAGTAAACTTAATTTAATTATTTCTATATGAAAAGATATATAATTTAATAAAATTTCACAATTTCCTTTTAAGAGAGTGTTTGCCTATGTGGTGACTCACATTTATTTACAACCACACAAACACTAACACATATCAAGACAAATAACAAAATATATATGAGTACCAAGGTTAACAAACAAACTTTTTAATGAAGCACGGGGATATATTCACTTATTATGAGTAAGTTAACATCATAACTTTGGTTTAATGATTAATAAAAAGTATGTGATACAAAAAAAATTTAGTTTTATGTTTTGAAGCTTAATCACTTAACCTGCTTGGAGATATGAACAGCAATAAAAAGCCAGGTCAGTATGCAAGTCCTTGCAGTCAGATCAGACATTTTACTGATGGTAGTATTAAATTTCTATTTTAATTTTTCAATACAAAAGTCTTCAATAAATTGTGTACTGTATTAAGTGTTAAAATTTTCATATTTATCCGGCAGAAAGTCGTGTAATCAGAAATTAAGATTGTAGTCTTTTAAAGAATAAGAAAAATATTTAATATTACCTTTGTAAAGCATCATTGTGGTAATTCCTTCACATGAATGTCGGAATGTGGAATACAAAATGTATTATCCTGAATGTTGGAGTATAAAACACAAAATATATTGCTTGAAATAAGTATTTTTGAATGTTTACAAATCTTCATCATTATTTAGTCTGTACATTATAATAAGTTAACACTCATATGTCAAAGAATAACTAGTTCAACTGAATACAAGATCACCGTCAATAACTAAGACAATATGAAACACGTTCATCTCGAATTAGAAAACTTTGCAATGCTTAATTCAATAAAGAATTAAAAATAAAGCCATAACTATTTATTTGAAATAAAAGATCCGCTCTTTGATCTTCTTATTTTAAAATTATATTAAATCACTTTTTTTTCCGATTTTAGCAATTTTGTTGTCATATCCCGGTTGTCGATGAACTATCCGGCTTTTCTGGATACCTTTTTATTAAATTTAATCTTCTTTGGTTACCATCTATTAATGTAACATAATTTTGCACCACATAATTTCAAATAAGCAGTGAAGCCAAATGCCAATAATAAAATATCTATTTCAATATTTCTCTTTTTCTAAAATTGTCAAAATTAATGGAGGCAACTTTGCTATATCAAAAATCGAGATATGGCAACAGTGTTGAGTGACATTTTTTTATTATCTTTTTTTTGTATCATGTAAATAATGTAATTATGTTAAGATGATTAAGAACTTAAACTCTTACCTCGTGAATGATCGAAAAGCCTTTGACCCTTGTACCCTGTACTAGTTTTTTTAAGGACAATTCAAAGAGGAAGAAAAAATAGTAGTAGCTCCAGTGACCAATCAAATGCTAGGATGTTATATGTATCCGTTGACGTTCTGAAGATAAAAAAATGTAATCGATGCGATAAAACAATCTAGAGTTCATAACCTACAATTGTTACATTAAGCATATTTGTTAAGTTTAACTTCTTTAGTATAAAGCTTTTCAAAATGTGAACATGCGTAAGCTGTACGCAGATTCACTTTAAGGTAGACCAATCCTAATGGGCGCTATAAGGAGCTGTAAAATTGACAACAAAGGACAGTTATATGCCTTAAAGGTTACCTGTGTAATATTTTCGTGTTGTTCATGAGTTATGGACATTTTTCTAACTCAAACTGCTTTTAGAAGGGATTTTTTCAAAAGTTAGGAATCTCTAAATAATCAATAATATCATCATTATGAAAAATGTTTTCATATTGCTCATTGTTAAGAAACAAAAAGTAACATTCAGGTAACAAATTACACGATCAAAATGATTGTTTCTAAACAAACTGTTTTGAATATGCAAAAAAGTGTTACCTACCCAACCCATTTTAAACACTTATTTGACTATATCACCATTCATCTATATACAAAAGAGAAAAACAGAATTTCTAAGCCTTATTCAAAATATCCCTAAAATATACCAAAATCGGGGGCTGTTTTAAGAGTTTGCCTAAATTTTCTTCATGGTATGTTGGGTGATCTTGCAAAATATAACATACTTTTACCGTGTACTTTTTATTTTGTTAGATTTCTGGTATAAAATATCTGGTATCATATTTGCCATTAAAATTTTGTTAATATCAGCAAAAAATACCTACAATAATTATATATTTAAATTAAACGTTTCTCCCATAAGGGATATTAGATTAAAAAGAAAAAGATATGCCCCTTCTGGGAGTTTGAACCCACATCCCTCAGTTTCAATGCAATTGACAAGTGATTTTTGCCTATTTGAATACTCTTCAAAGTTGAGGTGATACAAAGTCATAAGGAGTGGTTTACCTTAATATCTTAATATTTATTATTTGTAGATAATCAATTTTAAACAAAGTTTTAAATCACAATTTGGTTAACAAGAGAAAAATGAGAAATGAAATTAACAATATTATGGCTTTATGCTTACGGTATAACAAATCTTTTAAGAAAAGTTGGGTTTTTGTTCTTTTTTCATTATTTTTTAAACTTTTTTATTGGATTTTTAGCACAAAAGAAACCTATTTACAACAAGTATTGTAGTCGTCAAAGAAAGGACTTTCTTTTATCTCGTAAACTATATGATCTTTCACATGTTTTAAATATCTTTTTTCGGGTGTTGCGTGAGTAAAATTCAGAAACAAAAACATCTTTGTCTTTGATCTATCTTTGTTCTCTTACCCCGCTGACAGTCAATACAATTCACAAATACAGATAACATTCCATCACGAAGGGTAAAGATTGTAACAGGACCGAAATTTAACTTCCCTAGGCTGAATACCAACAGGTCAGTTGATTTAAAAACAAACTTAAGGAAAGTATGTCAAGAGTAAACGAAATATAAAAAGTAACAATTCGTGCTTTAACTATTAATTTGACATAACAAACATTCAATTCAATAATTATTCCTCCTTTTTTCATGTTGCTGTTAAAATTGTGAAAATGCGTCATTTTCATTTATTAGGGGGGATGGGCAAACTTAATCCAACCGAATCGTCGGTGCCCGCTTTTTAATATTTGTTTTCCTCGCTTTTTGGAGACATCATTTCTGCTCCAGAGTTTAATGTAGTCTCGAACTTAATCTTTTTGTCGCTGATCTAGTAGATCATTAATTCTTTACTTATTGAACATATTTAATCGAACGGAGCCATAGACGTTTACCTACCGCTTTTATTTTCCATCGCTATCTCAGTATATCTTTTTTTTTCAAAATTTAAGCATGTTAGGAAATGATAACCTGAAATACTTCCCATTTGATATATTTGATTCACACTACTAGTAGGTTGCGGTCAATTCAAAGTTTTGTTCAAAATCGTCATACTAACTAGAAACAAAGATAAACACAATAAATGTTATCATTATGTACCAGAATACAAAATGCCTTAACCAAATTTTCGGGGTTGTTGTTTCATTTTTCAATGAGCAAAAATGACAGTCATTTAATTAAAAATAAAGCAGTTGTTTTTGGCTTTTAATGTAGCTAACTGTGTTTGTGCGCCGTAAAACCAAACAAACAAATACACGTATTCTTTATATCACTAGGTATACTAAAATGTATATAACTAGACACCCTATTTACCACCAGGAAGGTTATAAATCACTAACCATACTGACTTTATAGTATCTAAATATTATTTAATACGCTAAATACAATTACCTAAAATTGTAAATTGTAAAAATATTAGAAAATAAAAGATTATTAAAACCAGTCATGCAATACTTTGATTTCAAGATTTTGTTTTATTTCTTCTGTAATTTTTAGTTTCTATAAATATATTGCTTGAATTATCAGGTTATTAGCCAATAAGTATCTTTTTGGAAACTATTAAAGTAGACATCAAATAAACAAACTTTTAGAAATAAAAAAATCTAATCGTTTATGTTGTTTTAAAAGTTTCCTTTTTGTATTTAACTTATATAAAAACATTAAGGTTATCTACTGGAGTTTTCATTTTAGCAGTTTTGACTCATGACTCCCTTTGTTATCATTTTTATCTCTTCAGCCTTGAACACTGATGTGGATGATCACCATTGCATGTAATATTGTTCTAGATCTCACTTTCCCACATCTGCCATGTGCATTAAAGCTCAAATTGCTTATAATTCTGAATTATGTCTAAAATTGGGTGCTAGGGGTCTGAGCGACGTTGCACACTTCATTATCTGTCGTGTCAAGACACCACCAAATATTCGATTTCCGCTCATATTATTTCTTATCAATACTATCGAAAGGTCTCCTCTTCACCAGAGTTTTTTTTATTACTCTTCGAAATCTTTCACTTTGTCTTTTAATAAAATATTAACATGTTACTATTTCTGAAATTAATCGTTTTCAAACGTGTTGAAGTATACACCATTTGCAATGATACTAGATAAGCTACAATATTAAAAGGACAGAACGGATATAATGTTTTGTAAATTATAAAGGTGTCACTAAATTAAATCCTGTTTGTTTTTTGTTTTTGTTTTTTGTTTTGTTATTTTAAGTGAATGCAAATAACAAATTTTTATGTTCAGCACCACCGTTTTGGGGAATTTTAAACGGTCACATATATTTGTAGCAGATTATTTGGATACTGAGGGGCTAATGAACAGAAAGTGTTTTTTAATACAATTTAGAATGCAGTAAAATAGTGATACTGGTGCCTTTAATATGAAATAACATAATTCACTCTCCTATTTTGGAGGTTTTGACAACCTCACATACTTTCAAGATCCAAATGAAGATTTTCTATTGTGTCAGAGTAAAATTTTCACTTTAAAAAAATGTCATTTTTCATATAGTTAAATATTGGGATGGATCAGATTAAAACGACCAGGAAGCGATTGTGCCCTATAATTTCAGAGGTGTTTTAATCATATAAAGTACAAGGTGCCATGCGAAGAAAAAAGCCGATTATTTGCCGGGTGGCATATGCAGTTTTTAGACCGTGAGCGGATTTCCTCTTCAAGTAAATGAATTTAAGGCAATTTTATAAAATATCTTCTTCCGTAGCAACTAGCAAACCGTGAACTTCCCTTTGGTTCTATTCTGTTGCGAATTGACCAGTGTGCGCGGATTTACGGCTTTATAAGGTATATAATGCTTGAACAAACAATACGCTTATCAGACATTCCACTCTTAAACTAATGCAATGGGCTGTCCTCAAAAAAATCTTTGCTACAAGGGAATTAAAATAGAGTAACGAATTGCTGTTTGTTGCATCTTTTGCCAATACGATTCTGAAATAACACTTCCGAGTTGAGAGTATTTAAGTGTGTTTATTTTTTTATCTTATGATGGCCATTCATTAGATAAATTAGTCAATAATTACAAAAAAAATGTCGACGTTGAAAATATGTCGTCAGTATTAATCTGAAACACTTTTCCATTATAATAATTGCTGTTAAAATTAGTTTTTAAAACCATTAAATAAACAAGAAATAAAATATGTGATTATCCAAATTTAATAATCTTAAATTTTTACAAAATTTGCCATAGGTTGATTGCAAAATATTAGAGATACAAACATGTACATAAATTATGTTTTTTACTTGACGCCTTTTCCATTAAGATGGTGGTTTGTGTTGTGTTGATCGTATATAAGTAAGAAACAAGTTAAATGTTGATGCTGCACATCAAAGACGCCGCCAAATGATGTGAACAGTCACAGGTAATGTACAAAATCAGAGTTGAAAATCGTTTTCTATTACAGTTGAATATCCGAAACACTTTTTTCTCAATGTTCTTGGTATGTGTGCGACAAAGATTGAAACGTTTGGTCCAAGCACAATTATTTGGATAACAAGTGAAATTGAAATTATTGGTAAACTTAGAATAAATTAAAGACAATTTATGTGCCGAGAATTTGTCCATTTAAA